AATGTCGGTGATCGCATGGAGAGAGATCTCTGGCTCGAATGTGACTGGTTCTTCTTCCTCCTCCTCTTGTTCATTGATGAGGAGGCAAAAAAGCCTCTTGCATCTATGTCMTGCCGAGTAGAGGTCATCACAGTTGAAACATTGGCCTCTTGCTCGACGTTCTGCCATTTCTGCCCTGGTCAGACGCTTAATGGGTGGAGCGGCCATGTTGCTACCTGTACTTGTCATTGGTCTAGAGGCGGTGGTGGTGGGATATTTCAGTTCTCGGCTGGTAGCAGAAGGGGGGGTCGTTGCTGCTGATCTTGGGGGTACCCATGAGTTCGGTGGCCGACCCACATTAAAAATTCCGTGGCTGAGCTGCAGTTTGCGCTCGAACGCGCGGGCTAAGTTCATGGTTGTGACCAAATTTGGGGGATTCTGCATCTCGACATCCACCCGCGGGGGTTCTGATAGCCCTTCCGTGAACATATCCACTTGCTGGTCGGGTCGCACGGAGGATGCCCTCGCGAGGAGGTGGAACTGTCACTGATATTCAGCCACTGTGCCGGTCTGTTTAAGGTTAATCAGCTCACCCAGTGGGTTGCTGGTCAGTGGGGGTCCGAACCTAAGAAGGCAATAGGACTTAAACTGGGGCCAACTGAGCCCGGGTTCTTTTTGCTCTAACCGATAAAACCAAAGTTGTGCTTCCTCTGTTAAGTGAAAGGCAGCTAGACTTACCTTATCCCGGTCATCTGTCCGTTGGTTCCGAAAAAATTGCTCGCAGCAATACAGCCAGCCTAAGGGGTCTCCGTTGCCGTTGTACGACGGGAATTTCAGCCTGCTGTACTTGGGGACGACTGCGGTTCTTTGGCTAACAGACTGCTGCTCGCCGGAAGACTCTGGCAGATCTGATCGGCGGCCATTGGTGGTTGTCCCTCCTTCAGAGTTCCCTTTCCTAGGAAGGAATAGCTCCATCAGGCGTCGCAGCTCCCTCACTTCTTCTTTGATCTCACGGACTTCGGAGCTGGTCTCCACGAGTTGGTGCTCGAGGTCGTGGACCCTGGATGGTAGCTGCTCCAGATCACCCATGAAGCCTTGCTCTGATACCAAGTTGTTGAGGGCCCGGGAATAGGATCTCGTTACGGGTCGGTCCACGGGGAAAACCTCCTGTTTTCCCTTGTTCCTTCYTGCTCTTGATGAACCTATCTTGGCGCCTCTGGTGATTTGTTCAAGAGATCACCAACTCTCCTAACTCACTCCTTAAACTGAATATTCGATCTCTCATTCAATAATGGGGTTTCCTTAAATAGGAGATTACAAGAGTCCTAATCAAGGGAGTCTCCTTGCTGAATAGGGAGACTTCCAGTGCTATCTTGCTAAGGATAAGATAAGCTAATCCTAATCTGATAAGCTACTAACAAGATAAGATAAGAGATAAGAACAAGCAAATGAGCTAATCTAATCTAGATAAGGCTGCTATTGCCGAACTGGGTAGGATGAGTATCACTGAATCATTGCTGCTGCTGACGGTGGGTCAGGTGCCTGTTGCTGCCGGTGGCGATGGCACGTCTTCCCGAGGAAGGCGTCCATAACACCCTCCCTCTTGCTCCTGCAAACCATCTCCCACCTAACACTATGGTCCTTCTCCTCCTCCAACTCCCAAAGAAAATCTCTCATTTGTTTTTCTAACCTACTAGCCACCTTAGCTGGAATCTTAAAGACCGATAAAAAGTAGACAAGAAGGTTAGCTAATGTAGATCTAATTAAAGTGATTCTCCCACCAAGAGACAAATAGTTCTTCTTCCAAGTTGCAAGTCTCTTTTCAAACCTCTCCACAACCGGAATCCAAAACTCATCTTTCTAAGGGTTGTCTCCCAATGGCAAACTGAGGTAATTTAATGGCCAATTAGAAACTGCGCACTCCAGGATGTCTGCACACTCCGATGTCTCCCCCTCYCCCATATTTACCCCCACTAGACAACTCTTCTCAAAATTCACCTTAAGGTTTGACATTTGCTCAAAGAGTTGTATAGTGAGCTTCAGGTTTCTTATCCTATTAAGGTCCCCTCCTTCACAAAAGAGTATTGTGTCATCTGCAAATTGCAAATGTGTGAGTGACACACTCTCCCTTCCAACTCTCCATCCTCTTATTAAGTCCCTGGAGTCTACTCTAGAAATTAATCTCCCCAAAACCTCTGCAACCATCGTGAATAAGAATGGGGAAAGATGATCTCCTTGTCTTATTCCTCTCAAAGCTGGAAAGATATCTACCATTGTCTCATTTATCAAAATGGAATAATGGCATTTTCTGATACATCCCATCACCCACTTACACCACCTGTCTCCAAACCCAAAATTGACCATCACCTCCAACAGGAAAGACCAATCCACCATGTCATAAGCCTTTTCCAAATCCAATTTGCATACCACCCCTTTTTTCTGGGATCTCTTGAACTCCTCCAAACTCTCATTTGCTATAAGTATTTGATTTGTTATCTGCCTCCCTTTCACAAAAGCTCCTTGGTTGTCTGTTGTAATTGCTGGGAGCACTTTTCTAATTCTAATGGACAACACCTTAGTGATGATCTTATATAGGCTATTAAACAGGCTGATCGGCCTATAGTCCCTCGGATGATTTGCATTCCTTTTCTTGGGAACCAAGGCAATGAATGTGGAATTTAGCCCCGGGTTTATCACTCCTCTAGAATACTTCTTTTCTCTTTTAATGAAAATTTTTATTTTACCATAAAAAAATCTCGATTTCTTAGTCATTTTAAGCTCCTTAGTCTCAGGTTCCTCTTTACCTCCAAGTTGGATGACTCAAAATAGCTAGTGAGTAGTGACTAGAGCATCTCGATTATGGACAGTAGATGAGAGAGAGGGAAAAAGCTCCAAGAGGTGCCAAGAATGCTTCTATTTCATAAACCATTTTGGCATTTTCTTTGTCCCTAACAACATTTCTTGGAATTTTGACTTCATTAGAAGCTTTAGAGAGGCTGCTAACAGGAAAGCTGCCTCTTTTGAGTTAATTTCTAATTTATTCTTGTCTTGCACAAAATCTAGTTGCAGGGTTTGGAGATCCAAACAAGTTTATATTTTTATTTTTATTTTTCCTAACCATTTTTATTTTTTTTCCTGACCCCTTAGCTTCATGTAACTCCCCAATTCCATTCACAACTTGTAAGGACTTATTCTCTATGGCCATGGAAAGGATGAATATTTTGATATGTTACAGAAAAGATGGTATCATTATCTGTTGTCATCATGCATATATCTAACTACTCTTTTGCTGAAGACATGCAGTACCATTTCTTTCATATGCATGACTTTGATTGAGATCATTCTTCCCATGTCAATCTTTGATATCTTTCAATAACAGAGACCACATGGACTTTGGATTCTCTTTTTTATTGTGGAGGTGTATCTTAGGCGTTTTTATTTCTTATCTATTGTTTTATTTTCTCAGGGGCATTCTATGAAGTCCTGTAGAATGTGAAAGGAGGAAAATGGAAGTTCAAGAATAAATTTACCCCTATTCATAAAAAAAAAAAAGTAAATTTACCCCTCTTCCTCTCTTCCAGGATAGAGTCTTATTTTTGGTGGCCTCTTGGGTCCCGGTTCAGAGGAGTTTAGGGGTGTTGGGCTTGTCATGTGTATAAACCTGCTCATAATTCTTGCATCCATTCACCGGTGTTATTGTTAATCACTCTGAGGAATTCAATGGGGAATTGAGATTGAGTTTCAAGTATAGCTCCCTATGCATATGCAACTTAGGAATGCCAACAATTGGAGAATTTGTTTCAAACAGGAATGTTAATATGGTTAGGGTTTCAGCTGTTGCATTGGTGAGGCAGATTCCACAAATGTGGAGTTGATGCCTTTTCCTTTGGAGCTTAGGGGAGTCCTTAAGAGGCAAGGGTTAAAGTATCGATACGCCTGGTGCGTATTGATATGACTAATACCTATCTTCTTTTGTGTTTTTTTATTAACTTTTATAGGTATTAAAGGGTCCAACTCCCACTTTTAAAGTTTTAAAGTTCTTAAAAAGTTATTGTAACGGTCCGATATGGACCGTATTGATATTTTAATCCTTGTTAAGAGGTGGAAACTGTTGGAATGGGCCTGTGAAGATTCCCAGATATTCTTATTGAACTTTGGCTGCCCTTCAGTTCTTGTCCTAGTCCTAATGTCTAGGGGTGGAATACTGGAATATAGGGAGTTGAACATGGTGGCTTATGGTCTAGCTAGATCAGAGGTTAACTAGGACTGGAATGTAAAGCTACCATCTTGTCCTCATTGCCATAAAAAAACTTGTACAACCAACTTTCCATACAGCTTTGTGATGGGCGTCTTTTTTTTCTATCCTGATGTCTATCTTGTATGTCATCTTCTTTAATCTTAATGCGCAAGTCTATTAGCTGCTGCTTTCCAAGAAAACTAAGACAAAATAAAATAAAGAAAATAAATAATGTGTTCATCATAGTAGAAAGCCTTATGTGCTGATTTCGGCCAAGCTTCTTGTGAAAGGAAGAGTAGAAAATTGGGGATTTCAGCAAGAGACAAAGGAAAGGGAAGAAAAGAGAAGAAGGTCGACTAGGATAGATTGACTTA